AGTATTCATGGGAAATGCAATTAGCTTTGAAGTCATTGGAAAAGGGATGATATTACTCAAGCTTAGTTCTGGTAAAATCCTTGCCTTAAATAATGTTCTTTATGTGCCTTCCCCGCGTAGGAACCTAATCTCTTTTGCATGGGTTAATAAAGTTGGGGTTAAACTAGTTTTTGAGGCAGATACGCTTGTTCTGACCCGTAGTGGGTAGTATGTGGGGAAAGACTACATGAATGGGGGCTTACTTGAATCTTCTGTTTTCTCCACTTCTATGAATAAGACTTCTACTTCTGCTTATATTGTTGAGTCTTTTAAACTTTGCCACAATAGGTTAGGTCATGTTAAGTCCTTAAATTAATTAAATTTTTTTAAATTTTTTTCTAACCTAAAAAATAATGATTTTGATGTTTGTGTTGAAGCTAAGCATGTGAGAAAACCTTTTCAATCTGTAACTGAAAGAAAAATTCAACTTTTAGAATAAATTCATAATGATTTAGCTCATTTCAGAAATACTGAAAGCAAAGATGGGAAAAGATATTACATCATTCATTGATGATTTTCAAGGTTATGTAAAATCAATCTTTTAAGAACTAAAAATGAATTGAAGCTGAACAAAATTTTCTTATTTATAAAGCAAAGACAGAAAATATGTTGGATCATAAGATCAAGATGCCGTTATGTCTGATAGAGGTGAAGAATATGAAACAACTTCCTCAAAGAAGTAAGTGAGAAGGAAGGTCTGATACATGAGGTATCTGCCCCCCGGTACCCCACAACAAAATAGCATAGCAGATAGAAAAAATAGAACCATTGAAGAAATAATGAATGCTACGCTAATTAGTTTTGGGTTACCCAATCACGCGTGGTGTGGGGCGGGGCGGGCGGGGGGAGGGTGGGGGGGGGGGCTATGCCCGTTTTATTAGCGAACTTTACACTTAATAAAGTACCCCATAGAGATTTTGACAAAACCCCTTATGAACTTTGGAGAGGTTATGCCCCAAACCTAAAATATTTGAAAGTGTGGGGGTGCTTAACTAAAGTTGGGATACCTTCCAATAAACGTGATTCAATTGGTCCAAGGACATTTGATGCTATATTTGTTGGTTATGCTGAAAATAATGCTGCATATAGATTTATGAGTATATATCTTATTACTTTCTATGTGAAGTTAGAGATGTTGAATTTTTTGAACATGTGAAGTTGAACTCTACTAGTCATGACGTGCCTTTAACCGATGCTTCTTCATCTTCGACTCCTACCTCAAATATAAGGGATGACTTAGATCAACCGAGAAGGAGCAAACGACAGAGAATTACCACAAACTTTGGCTTTGACTTTATTATTGCTTTCTCTTCTGAATATTGCATGATATTGATGATTTAAATGAACATTTTTTTATTTACATATGCTTGAAGAGGAGCCAAAGACCTTTGAAGAAGCCATAAGGTCAATAGATGCAAACTTCTGGAAAGAAGCCATCAATAGTGACTCAATTAAGTCTAAGCACACTTGGGAACTAGTAGATTTGCCTAAAGGTTGTAAACCCATTGGGTCTAAGTGGATCTTTAAAAGAAAACTTAAAACCAATGGAATGTAGAAAGATTCAAGGCAAGACTAGTAGACAAAAGTTTTACACAAAAATTTGGAAAAGATTTCTTTTATACATATTCTCCTATGACTAAGATTGCTATTATTCGTGCCTTGTTTGCTTTAGCATCTGGCATAAACTAATTGTGCATCAAATGGATGTGAAAACTGCATTATTAAATGGTGACCTAGACGAGGAAATATACATGCAGCAACCACCGAGGTGTGTAGTCTCTGGTCAAGAGGGGAAAATATGTAAACTCATAAGGTCTCTATATGGTCTAAAACAAGCTCCAAAACAGTAGTATGAAAAGTTTCATAAAACTATATTCAGCTTTGGGTTTATTGTTAATTGGTCAAATTCATGTGTACTCAAAAGTTATTGATGAAAATTATGGGATAATATGCTTGTATGTTGATGATATATTGACTTTTAGTACACACATTAATGCCGTTAATGAAACCAAATTAAAAGTCACAAAAACTACTAATGGGTTTCTTTGTCTTAGTCGCACTATGTGGAGAAGCTTCTGACAAAGTTCAATAGCATTAATGAGACATATGGCCCCGAACTCTAGCCTAAGTAGCTAGAACTATAGGTCAGGTGCTCGAGCACTTGAGCTAGCCCTATGTTTTTTTTTTTTTTTTGAAAATAGCCCTATGTGATTCCATTGTTTAATTTTTTCTTTTTAGCACATAATATTTTTTTTTCGAACTATATATATCCTGAATCTAATGATTCGTTAGGACTCATGATGAGGTAAAATCAAATCAATATAGTTTTGAGACTCAATACTAAATTGAATCTTCTACGCACAAAAAGTCCAATCAAAATCCAAACCAAAACTTCAATATTTGTGGCAAGAATCAAACCATACTTTGTCGGCAGAAGCAAGTTTTAAGTAAGAATTCTTATCATGTATACTTTGTTTAATTGTTTAGAGTTTACCTGTGTTGAACTCCAATCACAAGGGCCCACCTCTGTCTTTAAAATTTAGTAGATGAGGTTATTGCTAGATGTATCTCAACATGACTCGGTTCCAATTTTGATTCTCCTAATACTTGTACATTGATTTTGATTCTCCTAATATTTGTGCACGGGAAAATAATGCCGTGTGCGACGGAATTGACCGAATGCGTTTTGGCAAGAATTAATTTGTGATCTTCAATTATGAGAATTATGTTCATCCACTCGGTCACACTTTTTGGAGCTAAATTTCGAGTGAATTTTATGATAATAATAGGTACCTAGGTTAGTTGAATATAACATATGGGATGTTTGGGATGGTGGGCATGAAATGGAGATTTTATAGACACGACAATGACTTTTTGTCTTTCACATATAAGTCGAAGCCGGGAGAGGATGCGTCCATTTTATCACCAAAAACTTTGCCTTAACTTGTGTCGATGGTTTCCTTTTGTTAGTTTTCAAATCTTCCTTTTCCTATTCTTAAATCATAGGCCAAACATGCTTCCTTGTCGGAACTCTTTTCTCCCTTTTTTCTTTCCATTCTCCATTCTCCCAGGAGCTGAGGTTGTTTGTTTAATTTGGTTTTCTGGGCTTATATTTTTCAGGATTTCGGCCCAAATATCAATCCAATCTCAGTGGTTTTGGATCCAGTTTTTATGATTACAAGCATTTCATATAAACCTAGTTTAGAAATTCTCGTCTTTTTTTTTTTTTTTTTCCTTAAATATTTTTTAAAGCAAAGGGGATTTCATTAATAGACTCATTCAAACTTCAAATTGTCCAAAATGACAGGAGGAGAACAAGTAACCAATGCAAACTTTACATTCAGACCAAGAATAAGCTACTCTAACTAAACTATTCTTGTATTGAATGCTTGCCAACTATTTAGATGTTATTCGTGATACTTATAGATGAATAAAGAAAAGTTTTATATTATTACAATGTAAATAATGAAAAGAGGGAGAGAGAAAAAGAAGAGGAGAGTCTCAGGATTCAAATGAAATTGATTTTTAATTTATTTTTAGTACTACTGACTCTGTTACAATGTAGTATCTGTTTATAGCTATTTTCTCATTTTACTAAAGCACAAAGAGTCAATAACGCCTTCAAGTAGGGCTCAAACCCTGACTTTCCATTTAGGAGAGTCATTCCAACTCTGAAATTGATTTCTAGTTTAGAATTGAATAGATACCATTTAATTTAATTCTAAAAATGCTTTATTCACTCACAAAATGTCTACCTTATTCAGGAAACTTATTTAATGAATGAATTGATCGAACTATAAGACTACTACTGCAAGTCAATTCTTCCCTTCTTCAAATAATTATTCCCTTTTCTAATTATTAGGTTGCCAAACTTCAAAAAGCTTACGTACCCTTTGTTGAATATTTACATATAAAATTATAAATATACATATATATAATGAAGATATAACATTTATATATGCGTGTGTGTGATAAGGTTGAAAGTTGAAACTCAAAAGCAATAATGAGGTGGGAGCATATATAGTAGGTAGCATTGGAGGTCCATGTACAGGCTACTATACGTACAAGAAATTGAAGTATGTTACCACCACCTTTTCAACATGGAATATGTTAAAGTCCACAAGATTCTCGACCCTTTAGAAATACAGACTTTTTGACAACAAACTCGAGTTTAATTTATATTAACCAAACCTAACATGAGATTTATTGGAAAGCTTGTTATCGTTTACTATAGCTGATCGACTCAAATCAAGATAGTTAATAGACTGATTTCACGACGAGTGAACCTATTAGTTACCAAGGCAACGGTTGACCAACTTAGTTGGGATTGTCCTAACACGAGATTCATTATCTTTCAATTTTGATATGATGCAAGCATGTATGTGATACAATCTCATATGCTCCAAAGGAGATTGTGAAATGATACTTAATTTAGGTCTAAACCTCAACTGTTAAGCTAGCTTTTGTGGTGGAGTTAGGGTTGTGACTCGAGTGTGTTAGCTTAGGATCGATCAAATGCTTACCACTTATCCAAAAATCTCTCTAGCCACTAATTGTTGGATGCATCTGCCTAACAATTTCCCCTCCTAGCAGGTTCAGATACCAGATGTTAGGATTCAGCATTTATCACTATGCCAAAAGTTATAGCTCGTAACGAATGCCTAACTTTATTTCCTTCCCCGTTACATTTTCAAGAGATAGAGTACGTGCTAGACTTGCTCTTCATCGACATCCACAAAAAGTGATTGTTTTGTGAAGTGTATCAACTCGTATAAGATAATCATTAGCGAAGCTAGCTAACGTGCATGTGCCAATTACATGGGCAGATAGCTGTAATAAGTGCCCAACACACAATAAAGTTACGAGGTGTCCTAACGAACTTGCCAAACGTTTGACTTTTCGAACGTCCATGCCACAATTCACCCCAACATTTACGTATAAATAGAATATATATATATGCCTGGGAAATGGGAATGTGAATCAAAAGACAGCATTGAATTGAGATAAGACGAAGAAGCAATAATGGGTTCCAAAGCAAGCCGCACCATCAAAATCATGCCTATAGTTAGCAAACTCCACTGCTCGGTCTCCGAGGAAGTTCTGGTGGTCCGCCACCGCCCGCACGTCGTTAACGGCGGAGGTTTTGTGGTCACGGATAGCGCCCAAAACCCTGTTTTCAGTGCTGATGGCTGTGGAGTTCTTGGGAACAAGGATGAGCTCATTCTTAGAGATAGTTATGGAAGTCCTTTGCTTCTTATACGACGAAAGGTATCTATCCAGTTACGTTTTTTCTACAATCAGCTAATACTATCAACTAATCACTAATCGGCAGTTATTTACCAAACACCCATAATGTCTTTTGTTAAGAATATGTTTAATTTGGATTTTAGAACAGTCTAATTAGATTATTTGTACCATTTTAGGTTGGATGAAATTAGTGTTATTTAATCAATTTTAGGGGTTTTGTTTTTAAGGGAGGGATAGTTGAAGTGCTAAGCATGACAAGGAAATGGAAGGGCTACACAACAGAATTTGAAGGATCTCAGAAGCTGGTTTTTACCTTAAAGGAGCCGAATTCATGTTTCTTGAAGAACATTCCAGTAAAAATTTCAATTGAATCAAGCCATTACGGTGGTGATCACCGGAGTTTCGCCGTCGCCGGCTACTTCCCCAATAGGGTTTGCAGCATCGTTGATTCTCTCGGCAATGCCATTGCACAAGTAAGTTATAATAAATGTACTGCATAATGCACCTGTTTTATTCCCTTAATTTCTAATATAAGATTAACATTAGGGATGTCAATTGTACTCTAACAAGAAATTCAATTCTATATCCTGACTGAAAATTAGAAAACGGAGGCAGGAATAAGAAAAACTTTTAATTTCCCATAAGGAAAGGGGAGTACTCGCTTTGCTCCGTCTCCGAAAATATACATATATAAATATTCTAGTCACACGACACACAAACACACATACATACATACGTACATATGTCCCGAAGATGCATGGAGAGATCTTTTTCTGCTTCCCCAACAGATCGAGATGGTGACGGGAACTGGGAATGGAGGAGAATGTCGGGGAGGGGGGGTGGAGTGAGGGGGTATGCCTATTGCCCCCATCCCACCATGTTGACATTTCTAATTAATATAGAAGTTGCTCGAAAGGGGATAGTTGCATGTGTATGTAAAGTGTAATTTTTATATTAGAAAATTTTGGGCTCGATTTTTGTCAACACTCTCTTGGTCGAACTTGCCGTACAAGATCTCCTAGTGCGATTTATCCCGGCCTTTTGCGTGATCATAAATTTTAATTTGAATTTTGTAGGTTGGTGGGTGTAAAGAAATAGAGATGGAAAGCAAGGATATATATAATGTGATTGTAAAGCCAGGGATTGATCAGGCCTTTGTTATTGGAGTGATTGCAATTCTAGACTACATATATGGTGGATCCACCAGATGCTAATTCTTCTAAGCCTGCCAATCAAAACTATTTAATTATTTGCGAATTTATTTATACTACGTTACATCTGCATCTCATGGGATAAAACTAATTCGATCGAGTCTCGATTGGATTCTATTCAAGACAGTTTTCCAAGTACGTTGGTGTATATATATACGTACTATACTTATGAATTTTATTTAATTTGTCTTTAAGTAGATATGAAGTTAGTAATTACTCATAATTAATATAATGTCCTTTTCCTTAATTTTGAACGTTGTCGTGTGGTATTTTATGTTTGGTTGGTGCAATTAATACGTAATTAATTGCATATTAGCACATGTGACTTTTCAATTGATTTGACTAATAAGGGTATTTGAAAACTAACTTATACTGACTTATTTGACAAATTTTAATCGTTTGACTTGGTTAACCAATTAAAATAAGTGTTTGGTAATTATTATTATTATTGTTATTTTAATTTCAATAAGCTAAAATGAAAAAGTAACTTGAGATAGCTTGTTGGTATCACTCGATTGCATTTTCTTTTTAAAACTTTAATTTACCTATAATAGTTATTATTTATTAGGGTGTGTATGTTTATATATATTTTATTTCAATTTTAATTTACTTTTTAAAATTGAATTATTTTTTATTTAATAAATACAAAAACAAGAGTTAAAATTATAATCTGTAAATAACAATGCTAAAATCATTATCATCATCATCATCAACAACAACAATAATAATATAATTAAAATAAACTTATTTTAAAAGTTATTTCTAAAACTAAAAAAATTAAGGATAATTCAATAAATAAAACAATATACGGAGTATTTATATCTTTTAAAGTAAGTTTATTAGTTACATGCTAACAGTAAATAATTAATTGTAAACAGTGCAAAATAGTTAACACAATTCATCAGCTAACAATGCAAGTAATTGTTAAACACTTTCTTGAGACTCATAACTGTTATTAATAACATTTTAAGTAAGAATTTTATATATGGATAATTATAAAAATAAAGTGTTTTCATAATAGTTCAAATGTAGGCTAACAAGGAGAAAATATAATTTATGGACTTCCGAAATTTTAAATAAATTCTTGAATGGATTGGCTACGCAATAGCTTTCTTCCAAACTTTTATCACCACACGTATAAAATATGGAACCGAATAAAACTTTAGAACAATAAAAAATGGAATCGGCATAATTTAATTAAAGTTAATTAGGTATCTATTTTATTTATAGGAAAGTCACTATGTTACTCAAATGGGCCGTGAGTTATAAGATCCATAGTTGACTTGCTCAAATAAAACCGCAAATTATGCCATGGAATCGTGTTCACCGAGAATGGTGAACACAAGGCAAAACGACGTCGTTTTTAGGCAAAAAAAAAAAAAAAAAAATCGCGGATGTGGAGTTAACGGCGCGCGTTTGATCAAATTATGAATTTTCTGTTATGAGATTATGAATTTTATGAAAATTCATAATCTCATAACAGAAAATTCATAATCGCATAACAGAAAATTCATAATCTCACAACTGAAAATTCATAATCTCATAACAGAAAATTCATAATCTTATAACAGAAAATTCATAATCTCATGGTTCCAAAGTGAATGTGTAAGCATGGTTCCAAAGTGAATGTGCAGGCATGGATTCATAATTTATGAATGTCCGTGATTTCGGACGAGAATATGTAGGCATGGTTCCAAAGTGAATGTGCAGGCATGAATTCATAATTTATGAATGTCCGAAATTATGAATGTAATGAAAATTCATAATCTCATAACAGAAAATTCATAATCGCATAACAGAAAATTCATAATCTCATAACTGAAAATTCATAATCTTATAACAGAAAATTCATAATCTTATAACAGAAAATTCATAATCTCATGGTTCCAAAGTGAATGTGTAGGCATGGTTCCAAAGTGAATGTGCAAGCATGGATTCATAATTTATGAATGTCCGTGATTTCGGACGGGAATGTGTAGGCATGGTTCCAAAGTGAATGTGCAAGCATGAATTCATAATTTATGAATGTCCGAAATCTTTGTTCACCTCAAATTAAAGTGAAACCGCAAAATGTGAAAATAAAGAAGAAAAGTCACGCAATTAATTAAAAAAAAAAAAAAAAAAAAAAAAAAAAAAAAAGAAGAAGAAGAAGATAACGGTGTACTAACACCGTTGGAACCGTGTTCACCATGAATGGTGAACACGGTTCCATGGCATAACGTCCGAAATAAAACAAAATCTATAAATAACTTTCCAGAGAAGTTGAACTTGAAATATTGTCTAATCGTCTAACCAATTTCACTAAATTATACCAATAAGGTATCTTTTTATTCATTAGTTACTATAAATTAATTGATTCACCTTACTTTAAAAAATATATATTATTTTTCTAGTGTAAACCACGAGGTGTTTCAAGTCTTTCTTCGTCCGTCTTACAGTCTGGGCCCACTCGACTATTCCCCGCTCACTCCGAGAGACACATGAACTAGCCCTGAAAGAATCGTCACTTATGAAAATAGATCCCGAATTATTCCGAAATTTATATTTATTAATAAAATACAAATCATATACATATTGTGATAGTAAAATATTTTAGTCCTTCCGACATTAACATTTAAGCTATGATTTGTAAGATTGTCCTTTTTCATTCATTAATGTAAAATGTTGCGGTACACCGCCCATTGAATGTGATCGGGAATCCTAAGAAATCGTACGTGGTACACTAACTGGAAGAACATAATAACCAAGAAAATGAGTTGAGACCGAAACCGTGTATTGTATTGTATTGGTGTTCCCATTGCGATAAGATTCCTATTTCCTACATACCAAATGCAAAATTATCCAAATCTTCCTTCTTAAGAAATAAGAATCTTCCACTGAAAAGGAAAGCCCAACTAGGACTCCCTACTCGTTCTTGCTTTTACAACAAAACTTTTCGTTTTTCAAAGGCATCAAAACACTGTTTCAAAGACAACTTAGTCGCAGACCAACCTGCACTGCATTTAATGATTACTTTAATACTTCTATACCTCACACCCACCCCAGAATGAGTCGCAGGTTGTTTGGTTCCCAGGTTGGCCTTGCCAGAACGTTACAAATTCGACTCTCAATGACCTATTGGCTTTCTTGGTCTAAAGTTAGTCAGTTATGGACGGGCAATCTGAGCTAGTTTACAGACAAGAACAAGATTATCTTTGCGTAGACAATATAAACCTAGTCATTTTGTAGGAAACAAAAATGGCTCATTCATATACGACACATGTAAAAGTGTAACAACTAGATATTCATTTCATGCATCCGAAAATATACTAGGAAAACTTAATGGCATGCCAGGGGCGTGGGGGCTATGGTATCTGTACAAAGCTTATGCTAATTGAGGTTAGCTTGGGTGGGGAGCGAGCCATCGCCCAAGGCGATGCTAGCTCGAATGGATAGGAACAACAAATACAAGGTCATAAGTCCGAAGCCCAACACTTTGTTGGGGCGCATCTCGTTTCTTGGAAGCACAACGAGGGCGAACAGCAGTGCCAACACCAAAAAACCGAGTGTGTAGTACAGGCTGGTGTCTTTCGGGATTGTGTAAGAGCCCGGCCTCTGGGACCAGGCTCCGAGCAGCAAGGAGATGCCTAGGCCGATGAGGGTGTTGAACATCGGGCCACCGTAGCATCCCGACATTGCGATCTGGACGCCATCCCCGTTTTTCATTGCCATCGCGACGTTGGCCATCAGGTCGCCTAGGGAGTTGCCCCAGGCCAGGACTGTCAACGCGAGGAGGGACGGGTTGATTCCAAATATGACCCCAAACGAGACTAGCAGGGCGACTAGCTCGTTTGCCAGGATGTAGAACCAGACGATGCTCATGAAGAAGCCACCGAAAATCCACGGGAACAAGAACCGTTGAGGCGGGTGATCGGGTCTGGTGTAGATAAACGCGAGCCCTCCTAGCGTGCTCCCCACAATAGCACCAATGAAGCAGACGATCTCCCAGCCCGGGGAGCCTACGTTGTCTCGAGTGTTCCAAAGAAATGCTAACAGCAGTGGCGATAAAGCAGCACTGGCAACTGCATACACTTTAGACCATTGCTGCTCGTCGAGTATCGGGATAGTCAGACGCCTCGGGAGCATCAGAGGAACTTCTAGCAGCGACAGCAGCTTGGAACACGAGAAAGACGACCCCCGCTCATCGTCCCAACCCCACAAACCCTCTCCAGGACTAGGAGCCGGAGCCGGAGCCAGAGCCACCTTCCCTCCCTCGTTCGAATAAATTGTTAAACTCGAATCCCATTTCACCTTTTCCACCCGGGGCACTTCATCATCACAACCAGACTGCACAAAACTAGCACATAGAGACTCCTCTTCTGTGCTCCCATAAGATAACACTGGCAATAGAGGACTCACAAGCCCCAACTTCAACCTCCCACCATGCTTCCTTAACAACTCATTCGCAGCAACACAAACCGCATAGACCACATAAATCCCGAGAAACCCAATCGCCACACCAACGCTCACCTCGCCAAGAACCAATATCAAACCAAGACACACAGCAGCAAACAGAAAGAAACAGACATCCCGGATAAAGCATCTCTTGTCGATCCTAACGCCCCCATCCGCCACACACAAGGCAACAGTCCCAGCAACAACCGTGGTCACAAAAACCGCTCCACCAAGAACGCCATTCAGCCCCACAGCGCCCGAATCACTGCCCACAAAAGCAGCCACACTGGCAAACACATCAGGCGCCCCGTTCCCTAACGGGAGCAGAGTCACCCCTGCAAGAGTGGGCGGAAGCCTCAACAGATTCGAGAGGCTTTCGAGACACGGGCAGAAGTAATCTGCAGCAGTGTTACCCAATAAATAGAACAGGGCAACCAGCCAGACACCCAATACTAAGTACCTCAAACCAGAATACCTCTCACAATCACAGTAAAAGAACTTTATATAGTCGAAAAACCCACCCGAATTGCACTCAGGATTCGCCTTCAAGTACTCACATTCGGTATCATAACCCTCATGCTCATATATCCCACTGCAAATTTCTGAATCCTCATCAGAACCCTCAACTAATTTCTCGGCAATTCTCCTCCTAAGAGCCTCTCCATCACTACCATTCCTTCCAAGACCAGAAAGAACAAGAAAGGGTTTTTTGGAGACTGGATTCTGGAAACTATCTTGGTGAAAAACTAAGAAAATAAACGCTAATGCACAGATTCCCTGGAAGACTACACGAAATTTCCACTTCTTCTTTAAGTAAGAACTATTCAAAGCCTCCATTTCTCTTCCACAATCTGACACTTGGTACACTAGAATATGACTGTGATCACGATAATCTCATCTTTTCAAGATTCAACCTTTATATCATAAAGTTGTTCTAGCCTTGACAAGTAAGGAAATTAAGAAATGGGTAAGCAGATATTCGCGGATAATTTCGAAATTTTAACTGGAATTCAAAATTTTGCAAGCATATATTCTTTCCCTCTGATCTTTCTCTCTCTACATATATACATACATCACGAAAAGAATAAAAGCTAGCCGCCTAGCATTTGAGTGTTGGCTGTACCTGTGAGAGAGACAGAGAGAGAGAGAGAGAATGAATGGTGGAAGAAACTTCGTGGTAGTTTCATACGCTCCTGCTTCTGTTTTCTGGAGTCTTTATAGGATGAAGTATGTGTCACGAAGAAGAAGAAGAAGAGAAAAAGTGGGCAAATGAAGAAGAAGCAGCGCGTGTGCGCGTGTACACGTGGACACGCGGGAAAGTAGGGAGCCCGGGAACAGTGAATAATGGAGAAACCGGGGAAGTTTGTTGGACCAACTTCTCCTGAGAAGCTGAGAGCTTTCTATTGATTTTATTTTTTAAATTTGGAATAAGGTTCAAATTGACCACTGAACGTAACCTGAAAATGCAATTAGGCCACTGAACGAACAAAAAGTGCAATTAGGCCACTGAACACTCCAAAACGGGCAATTAGGCCACTGAACTCTCCAAACGTATGCAATTTCACCAGGTTACCATCAATTTTAGCAGGTTACCTGCTTACGTGGCAGCTGAGTTGGCATTTTTAATAATTTTTGAATAATTTTTAATAATAAATTTTATAAAAAATAGAAAAAAAAATTAAATAAAAAATAAAATAAAGTCATTTTTATTTTTTAAAAATTTTTTTAAATAAAAATTTATTATTAAAATTTATTAAAAATGATTTGAAATTTATTAAAAATACCAACTAAGCTACCACGTAAGCAGATAACCTGCTAAAATTGAGGGTAACCTGCTATCAGGTGAAATTGCACATTTTTGGAGTGTTCAGTGACCTAATTGCACTTTTTTTTCGTTCAGTGACCTAATTGCATTTTCAGGCTACGTTCAGTGGCCAATTTGAACCTTATTCCTTTAAATTTTTATTTGAGTTAATTAGTTATTAGTAATATGATTTATTTACTTTTTAATACATTAAAAATTACTCAGTAATATTTATAATGATTTACCAAACAATATGGACTATGATGTACGATATAATAGCCAGAAGGTGGGACACGAAATAATGATCAATCCTTATATCATTGATCAGGGTTCACATTGCATTGTGAATCTTGATTTATGTGTATGTATTTTGTGTTGTGATTTTTTGTATCTTGCGTTATAAAATTCTGTACTTTAAGAGTATGAATTATGTACCTGGAACAAATTAGTAATTGTGTCTTATGTTATGATTTTTTGTATTTTGTGTTATGAAATTATGTATCTTACGAGTATGACTTTTTTACCTCGTCGTTTCAATCCAGGGTCCATAATGCTATATGTGTCTTGTGTTGTGTTGTGTTGTGTGTGTGTGTGTGTGTGTGTTTTTTTTTTTTTTTTTTTTTTTTATTTTTTTTTTTGTTATGAAATTATGTACCTTAAGAGTAAGAGTATGAATTTTGTACCTCATCGTTTCAATTTAGATCCATAATGCTATGTGGACCCTGGTTTAGGGATGCCAATTTGTCTCGTCCTCGACGAAGATGGGAAATTTTTTAAAATTAAAAATTACACTAATTTAAAATTTTGATTAAAAATTGACTGGGGTCAGAATATCTCTGTCCTCGCTTAATTTCTGCGATGATGAGAATGAAGACTATTTTCAATTCTCCATCAAAGATGAAGACGGGGACAATAACGAGGTCAGGTTTTGAGAATAGGGACGGGTACGGGGAGTATTAATAATAAGAGGTTTCTATGGTAGGAGGAGTCGAAATGTTTATAGACAAAATTGCTTGGGCTAATTGGGCCTACAGGAAAAGTCCAAAAAGTTTGGTCAAGTTGCCCAATCATAGAGTCCAAATTTGACACTCCTACAAACTACAAAGTACAAACTTTGATGTTGTTAGCTTTGTTTATTGTGCACACTGAATAATTTAATAGAATTAATTCCATTTTAGTAGTAGGTTAATGTTTTAATAAATACGGAGTACTATATTTGAAAAATAATTTGAGAAAATCTAGTTGATGGGGTTAGTTAAATCCGGTACTAGGATTTGTAAAATATCACAGAAGTGTTTAGTGGTATTCAAATAATATATTTAATAATTCATCGAGAATTATAGTTTTACCCGTTGTGATTTTAAAGTTTTAAACCGAATAGCGACATCTTTTGAGTTTCAAAAAGTAACCATTTAAGTTGTGGTGGTCTTAAATTACAGAGTAAATCTGTCTTTTTAAGTCGCTTGAATAAAAAAAACAAAATCCTTTAATTTAAAAAAAAAAAGGCAAGAGGGCGACCAAGGCTACCTTCGTCTCTTGCTCAAATGGTTCAGATATGGATCAAAGAGAACCATATGATTGTCTTTAAAAAAAAAAACTAAAAAAAAAAAAAAATAGATAGTCATGATGTCCATCAAAAGAGACTACCATTGGTGGCCTCTTCATAGTTGGTGGTTGTTTTACACAATCTTTTTCTAAATTTAATGAAAATATTACAAAAAGTTACATACTAGGATGCATGTAACAGGTGAGTCTGGACCATTAAACGGACACCCGAATTATCTCGTGGTTTACACTTGAAATATAATTATCACGTGTCAGTCACGTCAACAGTAACTTACTAAATAAGTCATATTAAAACTCAATTATACTTCTTTTGTTAGATTGAGCTGTAGATTTTTTAATAGCGTTAAATGCTCCAATTGCACTATTCGAACAATTTAAATGGCTTATTGTACTCTTAAAAAATCTATTATCAGTAGAGGAAAATTTCATCTATTATCAATAGTTATAACGTGGTCCCTAGTAAAAAAAAATCATATTTTTTTTTCTTTTTGTACAAATAAAGTTAATATATTAAAAAATAATCATTAAAAGTTCTAATTGAGATCTTTTAAATGACACTAAACCGATTTTTTTTTTCAATTTTGAAAATAAATTTATAAACATATAAAGTGGATAACTTTGGTTCATAAAGGTTACTATTGTAAGAATATAAATTCACTAGTGCTTGTGTCATGCATTTTTATGTACATGTATTATTATATTTATACAACTAATACGGAGTAATTTTTATCTAATTAAAATATAATTTTTTTTTTATATACATAAGTCTACCATACAATTTTCCATCTATTTTTCTATTATTTACTTCAAAATTAATTATTTTAGATTTAAAATAATAAAAAAAAAAACTGATTTCAGTGACGAGGAATCTACAATGATGTTGCATGCAGCATGCAAGTATGGCCTACAAGGTCGGCAGTTGTCGATTCCCTTTACATTACACTCCATCACAACTTACACTACACCTTTTACCCAGTTATTCATCCGCATATATTTTATTATATGCTAAATAAATCATTTATTTATTTATTTCTTCTCAAAATATTATCCACTGAACCATTAAGTTAAACTCGTGCCAACTTTATTTATTTATTTAACCCACTATTATATCGTGAAAGTGGCTTCCCCAATATCATCGTCTGTTTCACGTGAAATATGTAAGGTCCTGTTTGGTAAAATAGTTAGTCTATCAGTCAATTTTGACTTATTTGACTACTATTAATTGTATGACTTACTGAAAAAATCAATATAAGTATTTTTTGAATGCTACTAGCTCCATTACATTGTAGTATCTGTTCAAGCTAATAACGCCTCCACTGAGGCTCGAACTTACAACCTTCCAAATGGAAGTCCAACCCGGATACCATTAGACCACATAGTCCTAGTAATCAATATAAGTATTTGGTTATGCTAAAATTCAAAAAGCTACTCAAAACAACTTTTTCAATTAGCTTTTTGAGAAAAGAAATTATACCAAACAGCTATCAGCTAACAGCTAACTTACCAAACATATTTCTACAATCAGTTAATGTTATCAACTACTTATACCCTCTAATTAAGTAATTAACTCAATTAGCTAACAGCTAACAACCATTTACCAAACATGGCCAATATTTTTATTTTTTTTTTAAATATAGAAGTATTATATGTTTTACATAAAACTAACTATTGATCAAACCAAACGTCCAAATACGATAATTACGTTTCACCAATTTCACTACTTCTTATACAGCTGACAATTTTTATTTGATGATTTGCTATACTGTATATAATTTTTCATTGTAGACAAGATTTTAAAGTATGAAATTTTGATAGTTTTTTTTTTTTTTTTTTTTTTTTTTTTTTCATGTATCGGTACAAAATAATAATCTAAATTCTATAAGCAATCGATGAATTTTAGAATAGTTTCAAATTCAATCACAATCAGTGATGGATGGAGTGATTGATCATATACGCTAGTTATTGTTATATATGCAATTATGCATGCACAATTCTTATATTATCTGATCTTGTGAGTAGACTCAATTCTCAATATTATTATATTATTAGTATAAAAATCAATAAATTTATAATGAAGAAAAACTGCATGCTCTGGCATGGCATGACAGCCACATGCATGTTAGTAGTCCAAATACCTAATTTCTCTAAAAGAGATTATCAAATAGATATAGCACAGCTTTTTTACCTAAAGATTACAAATTTAATTATTGGTCAATATTCAGTTAGGTCCGTCGCATAAGGTCTTTATAGTGTGATTTATATCTTTTGTGTGATTTAAATACTATTACATATATAGGAACATGATTTATTCAATACATACGAACTTTTCGAATAATAGATGTGAATTTCTTTCGCCGTTTAAATAAATAAAAAACCTAAATTATCAATCATATCTTATTTGGAGCCTAGATAATTATATAATTATATTATTATACTCAATATAATAAAGTAAAAATATATATAATTATCTATCTTTAACTTATCTCATTTCTTACCTAACACATATTTTTATGGAAAATGTATTAATTGTTGTAAAAAGTCTAGGCTGTTGTTATCGTACTGTTATATTTATTGCAATCATAATTATATTATGTCCACACACTCGCCAGATTGGTTGAAAAGACTCATGAATATACACGCAAAGATCATTCATCTCTCTTAGATGAAACTATGACTAATTCAATAAGTGCCAATAATATAATACCTAAAATGTTAAATTGATATTTGAGTTATACATATATTACAAACAAAAAGACTAAATTTTCTCACCGCACTGCCCGCATACTCTATCCAATAAGATAGTGGAGAGATGAATCACGATAACGTAAATAAATCTTGCCTAATGCTCATAAGGAGCCCGTCACATTGAGTGATGAGTTATACATTATTATTATT